ATATGTATGTATTTAGAATTATTTAAGTATGTATGTTTATCAGCAGCCTGGTTACCATAGCACAGGCTATGTCTACTGGGATCAAAGAAAGAGAGATGTGTGTGAGATATCAGAGGTTATTATCATACTCGTAAAATATTTTCCCAGTCAGACGAAACCAATACTTAGACCAACTAAAGATATATCAAAAACAATTCCAAGTATTTCATAACACTGAGACTAATAATATTTACAATTATGATGATAGAACTTGGCCGGTAAACTGCCTCATTCCAATTTGTTTTATATCACCAAAGCAATAAACAAAGTTAAATAATAACATCACTCAAAATAATTACCTACATCTCAATTTCAACTTTTGTTTTAGAAAATCGTTTAGAATAATCGACTTGGCCCTCTATTTTAATGTGATTTGTACCATTATCTCCTTTGATATCGAACCGAATACATTACGTAATTTTGGTCCAAATCGATAATAGTGATGTACCGAAATCAAAATCGATTTTAAGTTACAATATCGATTGGAAGCCTTATATTACTGTTAACGTTGTATTTCAAGTAATTGTTATTGGATTGATAATTTTAATGTCACGGGTTTATAAATTCGTATTTGAAGCATACACGTGTTGCAGGGATCGGAGTACAAATTGTCTTTTGTGTAGTTGAAGGGGCGGTATGGGGTGAAGGCACCCTAACCTTGTAACAATAATTTTAGGGATTGTTCACTTCAATGCGCTTTCTATTTTCGTTTGACATCCGTACAAATTTATATCTACATGTACGATGTACGAATAACACTTAGTAAACTTGTGTGCACAATAAATATTTAGAGAATTTAAGTCAATGTTATGAGATATAAATATAGCCCATTTTCACTATAATATTATATTTAAAAGTAGTTTTTGTTTCACTTTTTTAATTGCATACGTCGATCCAACTAAATAAATGTCTATTCGTTACGGTAAAAATTGGTTTGAATTCAGTTGAAACGGTTTAAACTTCTACGGGACACTTAAAGCTTTAGAACTATTTTCATTACTGCTTTTCTATATGACATTATAAAAATTTTACTTAAACATAATTCAAACCAAAAAAAAATACATTACAAAAACAAATAACCATCTAAAATCGTGGTCTGATCAGTAAGATGCGCTCGCGCATGATGACATCAGCGGAATCTGGGCCGGCCGCCCACCTCCATTAGCGGCACGTCTAGACAAGCGGACCAGTGGACAATTGTTATACATTATCTATTTTTTAAAGGTAAGGTTCATGCTTCGAGTGTAGTTTTGAAAGAACAGGTTGTGATGTTGGTATTTCCTGGTGAGTAATTTGTGAGTCATGTGCAATAAAGTGTTGTATAAAAGTTAGTTATTTCACTTGAGGAAATTGTGTAGATAATAAACAAAGAACATTACGCAAAGCAACGGTTGGAGTCTGATTTAATCACGGTTTATGGATGTATTAATAATGAACCAGAGCACCGTAAATTAATACAATTCGACTGCACGGATGTCGTAGTGGTTTAAACGGTCGCCACGCCGCTTCCTACTACGCTGAGTGTTGTATTTTCAAACCCCACATGGGACGACACTTTGTCTGATCCACAAATGGTTGTTTTAAGTCTGGGTGTTCTTTTTGTCCGTTTCATGTATGTTTGTAAAGTCCCCCGCGACACAGGATATATTCCTAATGCGGGAGTTATCTTTAAAAAAAAAAAGAAAAACAACAAAAATTTGAAGTAGTTTCACTAGAACTCTACTAAAATTTCTTAATTATTGTCTTGTCAAATCGCTAATCGTTCAAATTGCTTACTAGGTTGCTATTTCTTTAAGAAGTCGTATAATCTAACTGCGCGTTATGCCATACCTCGTTTCTACGGTATTGGTACAACTATTGATCTGATTATGTGACACACAAACAATTTTTAGGGTATGAGTACGCTGTTCTGCATCCCCAATTGAGATCAGATTCCTAAGCCGGTCCTATTCACTTGATATGTCTTGCATTCACTATTTCTTTGTTCCATATGTCTCAAGCATCCTAACATTCTTTTCTCAGCACTCATTACTACACCATACTTGAAACCAAGTATCTACATACCTCGTACCTCCAACTGGTCATATTCCACAAACACTTCACTGTGATTCTTCACTACAAGTTAGTTTATTTAAAAATATTATTATCAGGAAATGTGACGTCATTCAAATATAATAATAAGAGTAAAAATATAGTTATTTCTTAGTCCACATTCTTAAACCCTTCAACTAGCTCTTCGAAGCACCCCTTACGCGCACGAAGTGCGAACAATACAAGGATTTATCGATGCATTTGGCAAAATTGACCGTAACCAGCAGTATAAGGCTGTACTAAGATGCCAATATGTCTGATCACTGTGTGTTCTACTTCCGCATGGCCATAAAAGCGTAACTCCTTATGAGAATTATTTTAATGAGGAACGGCTAACAAAGGGTTTAAGCCAAAATGTACCTACATATACAGTCAGTTCTGATGGTGAAATTTGAAGTTTTTTATCAAGACAGGTTATAACGGGGAAGTTTCCTTAACCCTTGTTCCTTCGATATCTTTTTGAATCTTTACAGGTTTGATAAGTTATGTTAAGTTATCATACCAAAGTACGCGAAGTAAAAACTTCGGTACTTTGAGTATTCAAATTTCATAAACATAAACGCCGATGTTTCTCTGAGCGTCTACCAAATATTGAACCATGCAGTCCCTTACAGGCCATAGTCCTCAAACTCTTATCTTCTCTTTCTTAGTGTTATGAACTCAAATAACAAGTACACTTTTAAATAACGTTATCATACATACAAGTTTCTTAGAACATTGTTGTGAAAAGCCGGCGGTATGTTCTCATCAACGGTTAACAAACGTGTCTTCGTCTAGACTTTGATCCATATCAGGACTGGTTTCATCATGTTTGTTTAAAAATTGTGTACGAGTGGATGTTTTTTTACTTAAACATCCTCTGTTATGTCTTACACATTATTTTCTCAAACAATTTTAAGAGGAATAATACAGCAGAAGAGTTGCTGGATTAAAACTAAACTGTAGAAATCTCAATTTCAGAGTAAAAAAGACATTTCATACTTATGAAAATTTAAAAATAAAATTATCCAAGTATATGTAATAAAGTAATAGGTGTTTTTCCTCCAACCTAGATTTTTTAATGGCAACCCAGAATTGTCATTATCCTTACTGCGTTTAAAAATAATGACAATACTCATTTTGTTGTCTTGATTCAGTTTCTATGAACTATTTAGTATTTTCCAAATTAAGTTTGGGATTCCTGTGATAAAGCACTTGCCTATAGGAAACCTTTTTTACTTACGTATCCGAGCTAATTTCAATAACTAATTCAAAGGTAATACGATCATTGCCACAGTTTTTATTAGATATAAGCAACCCTAAATAAAAAGCGACTCCAATATATGGTCTGGAAGTATCAGTCGACAAGGGAAAACCATTAGCAATAATAAAAATATACAGTCCAATAGATTAGGGTTGGCCAAACGCTATAAATAAAATATTTCTTGTTCGTTTCCGCTTACAGAACTTTGTGTAAGACACTTTTTATCTACCGCACACACAAACGGAAATCAAAGGTTTTAATCAAAACAATTACACCCTAAGTTTAGTTATAAACTTCAAGTTAGTATTGCAATGTTTAGGTATACACTTCAACAAAGGCGCTTCGGCGTGATAAAATAAATAAAAAAAACACTGCCCCGTTAGTGCTGCTCATAAATTACGCATGTTTGCGGACTATCGTGAAGTAGAGGGTCCTAATCAGTGTGCAGTGGAAATGAAAATTATACATCTATATCCTATCCGTGTGTTGACGGATTAAGAATACGGAGTACCACCACCCCTGTTCATCCCGTAGGTGTCGTAAGTGCCGACTAAGGGAGCAAATTAGTACAACAGCACTGTAAAGAGAGGGAAATTTAACACAAACCGTATACCAACCCGTCTGGCCAGCGTGGTGTAGTAGGCCAAAATCTCCTTTTTAAAGAGAGGCCTATGTCCAGCAGTGGACTACTAAAGGCTGTTGATGATGATTAAGATGATGATGACATCTATATTCTGCCAGGTACAATACAACCATACACATAGTGACCCTACCTAGGAAGATATAAGAAGCCTAACCATTAAAAAAAGCCGAAATATTTACAGCTTTCGATAAGGACTCGAGAAGTTCTAAAAAACATTATTATAATATTATAAGCACGATGTTCATAAAACTTTTCTTCAAACCAAAAATTTATGAAAAAGGAACCCAACGTAATAATTACCGAATACATTTTTAACGATATTAATGCACTTGAACTCGAAGGGTTCGCATGCGCATCTGTCCAACGATCGTACACACACAGTCACCGAAACAATCGTTCACATATGTACGCACACAAGGAAAGAAATTAGTCACACTAGCAGACGTTGTGGTGTGCATGTGGGTATCTATGGGGCGCGCTAAATAATAATAATTCTAACGGTTTTATGGCATATGGATGTTTATTGATTTATAAAAATATTGCGTTTTTTTTTTTGGAATGATGAATGAATAAAGAAAATAAGTGTTACGTTTCAAATTTCTGAAAGAGGATGATGGAATAAAAATGAGTTTTAACATGTATTAGCTATTTCAAACGTCCGAAAGAAGCTAAGTGTCTTTGTAAACGAAAGGTATCTTATTAAACTTAAATCTCTGTTTATTATCTACTTAATTTCTGTTTTATATACTAAAACGTAATTAGTAGGAAATACTAAAAACAGAATGTGCAAGTACTTTTACGTCCGACTCAAGAGGAGGTCAAGGTTCTAAGGAACTTTCTTCCCAAGGTACTCGAGACCCCCGCAATAAGCCCATTTGTGTCAGGACTTCCGTGTGTTTTTAAACGGTTCGATTCCAACAAGTCAAATTATTTATTATGATGTCATTTAATATTCTTGTTACAAAGTATCGATGGTGCACTTACTTGCAAAAATATTCCCCTCTCGGTGTAGATAAACATGTGCCACCGTTCTTGCATGGTGACGGCGAACAGGACACGAAACCTGAGAAGAGAAAAACATTCGTTAGATCTCACGTATCAAGCCAAGTAATGTATTCATATTAATCACATATTAGTTGAGCTACGACGTGCAATTTGCAAGGTTTATGAGAATTTAGATCCAGGAATCCTCTCAAACTCACAAGTTAACAGGAGAAATAAGTCCAATTATGAAAAAATCGTAAAGTGGATTTAGGAAAGTGATCACTAAGCCCGGAACCCGAACGTCCTGTCTTTCCTCTGACAAATTCATCGAGAAACATACCACAATATTAGTCCCAATTGAACAGGTCTAAATTGTTATTTTTTTTTAACTGTAGCAACAAAAATGATATACTTTACAATGATTAATTGCAACATTTAGTTTTATGATCGCCATTAAACATCTCCTAAAAAGGATATGTAGGCCACAACAGCCACTCTTGACTGTAGCCTGGCAGTGATTGTAAGAGATTTTGACAAGGCGCTTTGTAGATTCTTAATCAGATTAAATTTTATATCCCAGTAATATCTTGCTTTTATATGAGTTACTTTTTAATCGTTGTTAAGCTATTTAATAGTGTGATATATGTTTATTTTATATGTAATCCATAATCTTTCTTAAAGTTTAAACTGCGACTTAAGATTTATTTAATGTGATCTTAAGTTATTATTCTTATGCTAGAAACTATTTCATAAATATATACATTTACTCATCAGATTTAAAGTACTAATATAGCAAGCTTTTAATTATATTGTTACATAGCATAATATAATACATCTATATTAACAAAGTTACCTAACTCATTGTCAGACTGGTTAAAAACTCACACAACTTAATTCCGTTAATTATATTTTCACAAAACGCGAAAGTTTTAAAAGTAATGTTTTTTTTATAACTAGTAATATACCATTTACTTTTATTATTATTAAAAGTTTACATTTATCAAGTTTCTGTTAGTCGAGTCATGATGGTTGTAACTTCAGCTTTAGGTACAGGAATGTCTTTCTCCTGCATTTAAAATGACATAATGAAAATTTAGCTATTTTTTTAACGTGAATTAAAAGACTTTATGACCTTTTGTATATTAAGTGAAATTGACCGGCGACACGTCCGGTGGTGCGAGATGCATATCATCGTATCTCGAAGCTCCAAGATATATTAGTAATGTCATCAAGAAGTATTGCTGATGTGATGATACCGTTTAAATTGCATGTTTTTTGGAAGGTTGTTAATGTTCTCTTGAATATTTTTTTTGAAGTTTGTGTGATGGGAACTTAGTGATGTAGGAGTAAATACGTTTTTCATATAGTTTTATAGTTATATGAAGTAAACAAATATATTTTTTAAATGTTACTACCAAAAAGTTTCTTAAAAAACGAAAGAATTCACGCAAATTATTTTCTCTTAAAAAAGACAACTCCTGCACTAGGAGCGTATACTGCGTCGCGGGTGACTACAAACATTCATAAAACCTCCAAATAAATATTAATCTCAAACTAAGTTCAACAGAATTTTTAATATGTATATGTCCGTGTGGTGACGTATTAAGAATACAGTGTCACCACCCCTATTCCTCCCGGGGGTGTCGTAAGAGCCAACTAAGGGAGTAAAGAAGACTGCCACTGCAAAGAGAAGGAAAACTTGATACAAATCCAACCCGTCTGGCCAGCGTGGTATAGTAGGCTAAAACCTCATTTTTAAGGAGAGGCTTATGTCCAGCAGTGGACTAGTAAAGGCTGTTGATGATAATGATGAAATCTAAATTATGTTAAAAAATCTATTACAGAACAATTTATTTCTACTACATTTTTAATCTAGCCATCTGAGGACTTAGATTGATTGTGATATTCAGTTAGACGACTTCATAAATGCTTCCATTAATTATTATTTTTTATCAATATTCTGTAACATACTTAAGAAAGTGATAAAGGCTCTTATTAGAATTTCATTACTTTAAAACTTTTATTTTTAATAACTAATGCGTCTGTCTCAGCGGATATGTACGTCGAAGCCGCACTGCTTGGCAATAATAAAAAAAAGTAATGCAAAAAATTGAACTCGATTTGTTATCAACACGTGCAAGTATCGAATACTTGATAAGATCTCGATGTATCGATCAGTCAGAATCGAGACCATCCAAAGACATTCAACAAAAAGAAAATTAGACTTATTTTAATTTAAAAAAATCAACTTTTGTTGCAGAGATTTTTTTCTGAACTCATTAAATTTGGGGCCTGTGCCCTGTATTTATTAACTGCATTGGAAATACGATTACAAAGACGCTCGTCATAAGACTAACCAAGTTTGATGAAATGTTTTTTTAATTAATTCGTCAATATTTTGGTGTATACCTACTATGCACCCCTTTTATAGGTCTTCATGCATATAAGAACTGTGCCATACTGTTTACATTTTTTTTTACTTTAATTTATGTATTTGGAAGTGGCGTGCAAGTGGACTATGTCCAGCAGTGGACTGTGATAGGCTGATGATGATGATGATGATATGAATATTTTAGAAAATAAAAAATACAAAGAATTGTATTATTTATTTTCTATAACTTTAATTATTTATGAAAAAACCTACAAATCGTGGATACTAATATACTTGTACCTACTCAAAAACCTGATTTTGGAACATATTTTACGTAAGTTTTGGTCAATGTCAAAGCAAACGCAATTAATCATTCTTCACATATCCTCTACTGTGGGAAAAGTAACGGATATTACCCAAAATCAGTCGTTTCTAAGTAATTTTTGAGGAGATTCAGATAACTAAAAAAAAGATGTGTTGGCTAACGGAAAAAACGTTTGTAAACGATTTCTGGTAAAATTTAATTCAGATAAGATAACATTTCACATGTTTGCTTAATACTTGTAAAAATGTAAATACACTTGAAAGTTTAATATAAATATTGAACTTATTTTATTGGTTTATTCTGAAATTCGTGTCAATATTGTAGGCGATTATACAACAAGTTATATACATGTCGGCTGCGATTCTAAACTATATCAGTGCTATTGCCATCTTTAAATAGATAACTAATTCCTGACACTGGGCATCTTGGTTATTACGACATACATTAGTCCAGAATGTAACAAAAATAACTTCTTAATCACAAAACAAAAGCCCTGACTTCTTTCTGTCTGAGTTTTTAACGCAACATTAACGTGTCCAATCGCGAAATCAATTTCTACAACAGCCCAACATGGTCTGCAAACGAAAGTTTTATTTTACAAGTCTTCACAGTTCCATATTTTTAAAATTTAACGAAAGTAGTGAAAAATATATTGGAGAATCAGCCGAGTGTGTTATCATAACAAAAATAAACACACCGCAATGATTGACGGTCACGCGTGGGAATAAGTTTGTAATTGTAAATACCGATAACAAAAGTTAACCACAATTGAATGTGGTGCAATACGTGTTAGATAATAAGCCTTTTGACTGTCTCTCTATTTAGCAGAAATCATAATAAAAAACAGATTCCTAGACACAGGTTTCGTAAAACTGCTAAGATTTAAAAAAAATATATATAATAGTTATAAAAAACTAAACAACAGCGTTGGTAGCCTGTTGTCAAGCACACCACGCTTTTTTTTCAAATTTATTAAAATTTATGTTCTTTTTTTAGTTTGGTTTTCTATAAAAAGCGTTTTTTAGTTTTTTAAAACCATTTTTTTTAATTTTGTATTGTCATCGGTCCTCGATATATCTACAAAGTTTGAACGAATTCTGACCGTTTAAAGTCAGTCAAAATTATGCCCAAAGGAGTCGGTTCCAAACAAAAACATACAAACATACAAGTAAAGCTAATATAAAGCGTTTAAAAAGGCATATAAGTTAGTCCAGTCTAAGTGATACAAAAAAGGATTATTTTGCTAATATTAACGTATATATTTGCGCTATAAGATCTTGATGTGACGGGTATTGATGTGTGGGAGAGTATTTTTAGAACTGTAGTTAAGTTTTTCTTTCAATGAATCTTGTCAGACGTCATATCTAAATACAAGTTTATGCGGATTCCTCGGTTTAGCAAGGCACAACACCAAGCACAAGGTAAAATATTAAACTGGAATAAACTCTCAATCTTAAGTAAGATTTTATTTAATGAAACTAAATATCCTTCAGTCACTAAACAATAATCAACATGTCCCCAAATACTATAGATTTCGTTTTAATAAACACGGTTTACGATGATTTTCGATTGAATCCATTCCTCTAGGTAATAGTCAAGGACAGATTTAATATAAAGAACAACAGTTACACAAATGTCAGAAGATCCGCATACCAAACATTGCGTTTAACCCGAGGGGATTTCGTGTAGAATTTTAATCCTTAAAGTTGTACTTAACTAAGATAAATTTGATCTAGTATCAAATTAGTAGTAGTAATAGCCTCGTGGTTCGTCAGTAAGGACCTTTTCTATAGAAGATAATCATTACGAGTGCATGAGACGTCTGTGATCCATTTAAATATCATCGAAGTCCATCAATTAGTTTCACTGTCTATAAGCAACAAATATACCAAGCAATAAACACGCACACTTACAAACTTTTATATGAATATGTAAGAGCAAGAAGACGATAACCGAAAACTTATATTGATTTCCATTAAATCAAGTTATAGTATGAAGTTTCTTCAACGCGGTCACGCCTTAGCAATGTTTGTATTAAAACAATTTTCTTATGTAAGGTAAAAACATCAACATAGCCTACACTAAATGTGGACCACAATATCAGCCAGATGTCCTAAATCGAGTAAATAACTAACATACGTTCCTAAAACATATAATGTTTTACGATTGCAAACGTTACAACCTGAAGTAGTCTGTACACTAAATTAGGTAAGCTTCAATTTAGATAAGCCGTAACTAACCTCTCCGGTAGAAGTTTTAAAATTGTCGGTACCGTAATACTACTCAACGTTAAATTATTTTTCAAACGAGGTAGTAACAAGAAGTTGTTCATCTAGCAGTTCATAAAAACTGCTTTATTTAAATTTGATAAATGTCGCTACTA